TATATATATATATAATATATATAAATTATATATATAACATATATATATAAATTATAATATATAATATAGTTATGAATGATTTTTATAATCAATTTGATGATAAACGGTATAAATGTTATGTAATATTAGATTATATAATAATCTAATATCTAATCTAATATCTAATAGATTATATAATAATAATGCACTGTATATAATAAGATTTAATCGAATATTTCATTTTAAATAATAAATAGCAATATAATATAATAATTATGCTCTAGCTCAGAGAATACCATTCACATACTTCGCTATTTCAAAATCGATAATAATATATAATTAAGCCACGTATGCGTTATATAATCTCTTAATACGATGTAACTGAGAACAGATTAAGGACTTTTAAAGCATATATGTTTAAGTGTTTGGATATCAATAAATAAGATATAACATTAGTTATTTTTTATATTTCAAAACGATATGTTGAATATTTCAATTTCATATAAATGATATAATTGAAAATATATTAAATCATTGGATAAATTATTTAATATTATTTAAATTAAAAATTAATTCAGTAATAATTAATGATTTGAAATATTTTTTTCATAATTAAAAAAAATTTATAATTATTCTAATTAAAAAATAAAATTGAATCTTTGAATAAAAAAATTTATTATATTTATGTCAATTTATAAAATTTATTTATATATAATCAATTATGATTAATATTTATATTATAAATTAAAAAATGATTAATACAAAAAATATAAAATTTGAAAATGGAAAATTCAAATTCTTCTAGAATTTTATAACTTTTTATTTTTGAATTAAAATTATCAATAATAAATATATTAATAAATAGAGAATCGATAAACATTTCACTTGAACTTATATCTGTTTAAACAAATATATTTGTTTAAATTATTTAATTCATATTAATTCATATTAATTCATATAAATTATTAAATCATTTAATTCATATATATTTTGTTTCAAACTTTCATATCTAAGTAAAAAATCTATTTTGATAATGTATATTTTATTTAATATTTTGATTGAATTTTCAATTTATAAATGTTATAAAAATAATTTTATATTATATCGATACTTTTATACTTTTATACGGAATTGTTAATTTTATAAATAAATCATAATTTAAATTCCATTGTTGTTATAGTTATTATATCTTTATTATATTTTTATTATATGTTTATAAAAATATCAAAAAATATATCTTGTTTAAAAAAAATATTACTAACGATTAATATTAAAATTTTTACATAGTTATTTTCATCATTTCTTTTTGTTTTTTTAATTTTTATATTTCAGCATTTATAAATGTTTTTGTTCTAATATATTCAATATGTAACTAAAAATAATTAATAAAACTTAACTCAGATAATCACATATAAATAAATTCTTTGAATTCTGATATTAATCTTTGTAAAATGAAACTTCTCCTCAATAAATATTCATATATTGATTTCATATTATAAATCCATGACTAGTGATGGGATCAAACTAATATATACGTAGCATCGATATACTAAATATAATCAATACGTACGTGTTCTAAATCCATACAATATTTGACCATCTTATAAGTATTCATGAAGGCAAAATATATTAAATTCTTGTTGCTTGTATATGAACGTTTTATAAGTATTAAATATCTATATTTAAATAAAATAAAATTTGCATAAAATTTATTCAAACTTCAATATAAGAATATTATTAATAAAGATTACAATAAATTATATTATTGTAATTAATATTACAATAAATCGATTGCGAAATAAAAAATTATTACGTTAACATATAGAAAAGATGACATAATAATATAATGTTTCAGTTGTATTTTATGATTCATATTTGTTATATTATATTTATTTATTATTATAATTATTATTAATATAAATATTTAAAAAAATATTTTGTTTATAATTTTTTTTATTAATTTATTTTTTTTTTATCCATGTTGTTTTTGAAAATATTTTCTCAGCGAATACTATGTTAATATGATATTCAAATTATTTCTCTATTTTGATAATATAACATATTTGATAGTACTTAAAATGAAAGTATGATTTGATATATTCTGTCATTAAATAATTTGAATTATATTTCCATTTAAAATCATAATATCTTTATCAAAAAGAACTCAAAACTGGAACGAATTATTTTTATTCATATCATATTCTTTTCTTTTATTTCATTCTGTATTTGTCTCTCACTATTATAAATATTTGTATTTATAATTCTGTTGTTATTGGGAACATAATTCTAATAATTGAATCCTGTGAGTTGATTCAATTTTAAAAATAAATTAAAGAAACTAATATACATAATATATATCTATATATATGTTTATACATATATTTATATATGCATTTAATTAGTTTGATAATATTCATATAAATATATCTAAATAATATTTATATTTCATTTATTTTTAT